ATTTTATAGCTCATTTACTCAATACTGGACTGTGCGACAACTTAACCATTTTGCCACAACATGCCTCATATATGCAAAAATACTCTAAAAGATTTGACACGTATTCGTCTCGACCAGGGCCATTAGCTCAGCTACGGGTTGTACGCATGTATATTGGGAGGTCTTGGCCATGCCATAGTAATTCTTTAAATCAAAAATGTGTAAATCGATCAGTTGAATTGGTTAATAAGTAGGCTTATCTATCAGTTAATAAGTATCTAATCAAAATTGCTGATTTTCCCTGGCGTTTGTCCTACCACCCTGACCGGGACTGTTGTAGGGCATGTGTTCGTGTTTCTTGCACTTAATTTTATTTATTCATTGAGGAATAAGCATCTCATTTCATATAATTATGGAATTGATAAGAAATTTTGAACAATTTATTTTTATATAATTTTTGCAATACACTGTGTTTCATATTATTTTTAAAACTAATTGTGATCTGGTCATTATTTTACTAAATATAGCATTCTTAACCTGTGTAATGACTGCACTCTCGAAAAAGGACCCATCGGAACCTAGTTTCACCACTCGGAAGTGGCAGGTTCGAAGGAGGTCCCAGTCGGCCCCTCCAAATTTGAATGTGCAGGTTATGTTTGATTGCGTAAGAGAAAGTAAAATTTGGCTTATAAACAACATTGAGTTGTAAATTACTGGTCCGGCCAAAACCGGACCAATAACCAAAATCGGTCCCCCATACCGATTTTAGCCCGGACCGATTTTGGCGTGACAGTCCAATTACACATGCGCATATTATTATGAGTTTGAAATATTAGCTGCTTTAATCGATTTGAAGCCCCAACAAAGCCCCAAATGGCCAAGTTGGTTAATGCGACTGCATAGACAGTAGGTACCGGGCTTGAGTCCCTATTTTTTCACACTCGTAGATTCATCTCCTTTAACATTCAAAATTAATTTATACATATTTATAGCATCACACACACACACACACACCCGCGCATACACACACACACACACACCCCACACACACACGCACATACCCACACATACATACACACACACACACACATATATATATATATATATATATATATATATATAAATCGATATATATATATTTATATATATAGTTATATAGTTATAGGAGATCGATGTCATTGTCGTATTAAAAATATAATATATATAATATATATATACATATATAGTTATATATATTTATATATATATATAGTATATATATAGTTGTAATAGTTATAGGATATCGATGTCATTGTCGTATCAAAAATATAAACCTTCAGTGTAATTTTTTTTATTTGTGTCAATGTGTATAAAATCGAATGGAACCTGCAACCTTTCATCATCAAAGCAAGTATCGTACCAATAGTCCATAGATACTTATAATGTATACGTGCAGATAAAAAACCACTGGCACTCTAATACGACTGTCTAAAACGCTCATAGTGGAGCACTGGTTAAACTATAAAAGCTTAATTATAGATTGAGGTTTCCCCTCTTATACCGGTACCTTTTAAAGTACCTCTTAAAGTGAACTAAGTAGCCTGAATAAATAAATTGATTTCTAAAATCAAGGAAGAAAGACGTTTTGCTAGAAAGCAAAGATGAAATGACCATTAAAAATTAACCCTCCCTCATCAAATAGTAATTAAATAAATTATTCATAAGCATGGTTTGTGCAATGGCATACACAAAACGCACGTTCTTATAACGTTCGAGAACATTGTGGTTTTGGTATGTCACAAAATAACGTTCATACAACGTTATAAGAACGTTCAAACGTTGTGACGTGAAATTAGGTCAAGTACGTACATATGGATCTACAAACTAACGTTTTTCGTTTTTATCACCAAACTGTAACGTTATTATAACGTAATATTGTTTAGCTGGGCTCTTTTTAATTTACTAGTTTAATCTATTAATAATCTACTAGTTAGATAGCGTTTGATTAAATAATCACATGGTAAGTAGGCTTATAGTTTTTGCCAGTGGCTATATATTTTTTAATGATTTTTTTAAAACTAAATCATATTGAATATAGTTGCCTATTTGAAAATATTTAGTGTGTCACCAGCTAACTTGAGTTGTGACGCTCCCATTTTTCCTGCAGCATGTGCTAACGAATTGCACTCGTTTGCTTTTGAACACTGTTGCTCGGGATCGGCGCTATCGGGGGTCCAGGGGGAAAATGACCCCCGTCGGGGACCTCTTCCCCCTGCTTGGTCTCCCTGTCGGGGAATTTCAAGCAAGCTTGTCGAGGAAATATCAAATCTCGAGCGCCGAAAGTACAATTCAAGCTAGACCTACTAAGCTGTCAACGTTTTAGGATTATAAACTGTTTAGTGCGAGCAGTGCTACCGTACAGTATGTGTGAGGTGTTGTATACTATTGCGATCGTATGAGTTGCAGTGTTGTGCTCCAGCTCTTCCCCGACAGGGAGCTGGTACCTCTGACAGGGGGTTAGTACCCACGACAGCGGACTAGTACTCTGACATCCTATTCAAATAAAAAAAAAATCCCATAATTAACAAAAAAAAAAAAATATTAAATTTTAATTTAAAAAAAAGTCCACGACAAATTTATTTTTCCCCCGACCGGGGGAAGGCTAAGATTCCTCGACGGAGGGGATTGGGCGTGGACGTCCTTGTCGGGGAGAGTGGGCTCTCGTTGGGGCATTCTTGCAGTGATGGCGCCAGGACCTGCCCGTCGGGGGAGGGGATAGTGGAGCGAATCGAGTTTCACTTGGCTGGGGGCCAGAGGGGCCACCTAGGGACCCCGGTGGGGTCACGGAGCCACCGATATTTCACGAATTATGGCGAATTTTTATTGCTTATTTGATAGGCATCGAGTTACTATAATATGACTTCATGTAGGCTATGTTCTTTAATGTTGAAATCAGCTTCCAAAACCAAAACATTTTGAATAAAAGAAGAGTATGCAATGTAACCCCTGATCCCCTCTGGCGCCAACATTGCATTCCCGGCGCAACCCCTACTGATGTTGGTGGTGCTGCTGCTACTACTACTACTACTACTACTACTACTACTACTACTACTACTACTACTACTACTACCCACTACTGAAACTTGTTTATTTTATTTTATTTATTCATTTATTCATTCATTCATTTTCATGTTATTTGACTTTTGAATAGATGAATGTAAACTTCTCTAACATTAGCTAGGTTCACATTCAGAATTTAACGTGATCTAGTGGATCATGATCAAGCCAGTCATTTTATGTGAACCAACCAGAATCAAATAACGTGCTCAGCTTAATCACCTTATTGTGATCTAGTGGAGCATGTTGATTCGCATTAGCATAAATAGATCATGATGATGGTTTCTATATGAACGGTTTTCTCTAACATGCTAAAGTTATCATGATGAATAGATCATGATAAGTTTATCACGATAGCTTATGTGAACGTACCTGTTGTCAAACGGTAGATGGTATAATATGACGCGACATAGATAAACCATTTTTTGATATGGAAATATAAAGCTTAGCGTTGCTCTTCGGACAAATAATTAAGAATACAAACACTGAATGAAAAAAAAATTAAAAGGATTGGTGAACAATGTGAATTTTCATCTACTCTTCCATTACTACTATGAAGAATTCTCAGGAATGCCATTATTATGTAGGACTTTACGTGACAAGAAACTCAGTATTGTTTATCAACGCATTCAGTTTACCTATAGTAAAGTTTATGTCGTTCTGATAAGGAATAGAAATTTAACAGCAATGTGAGAATTCATGTTTAAATAAAAATGTACTGGAGTTATAAAAATTGTGTTAAAACTATAGCTACACTTAATAAAAATTGTGTTAAAACTATAGCTACACTTAATACATTAAATGATATGTTGACAGGCCTACTTTAACTAAACATTTTTTAAGAGTTTGTATTTTATAAATATAGATAACAAACTTCCTCTACGTTCTGAATGATTTCCTGATTCAGGAACTAAGTAAAACCAATATGAAGATGAAGTAGGCCTACCAATATTATAATCCTACATGGCTGAATGAGCAAAGTGAAGCTCGTAATAGTGATTTTCAGTCTAATAATGTAATTATTTTCCCCTGAAGACCAGATTTATTAAAATAAAAGCTAATGATACGGTTTTCCGAAGCATAGGCCTACTGTCCTGTAGTATTTCTGTTGGTAGCAGTTGAGATAATAACATTTCTAACGTCTACTAATAGTACCTCTAATAGGTGGCGGGGGAATCCCCTTTCCCGTCAGTGAAAACTTCCCCACCCCTTTTGGGAGGAAAACCACAATTCGTAAGGAAGGAAAAAAGTAGGCTTATATAATAGTAGACTCAAAAATCAACAAAATAAATAAGCCTTTTTAAAACCCCTAAATTGTCAACATCTTTGGAGGCTCCTGGATCACTGTCCCCACCGACAACGCCCAATTTACTCTCGTCGGGGACATCACCCCTCCCCCAACACGCGCCAAGACCATGGACCCCTCCCCCGCCATATGCAAATCCTGTCACCCTTCAGTTTTGAATTACTATTACTATTACTACTACTATTTAGGCCTACTCTACTACTACTGCTGCCACCTGCTACTACACTGTAAAACAGCGTTTAGAATTTAGGTGTAGCCTTGCTTAGGACTTGTTTAACATTAAATGTTCTCAAGTATTTGATTAAGGGGGGTTACGACGAACCGCCCAAAAACTGGAGAAGGTCCGCATTTAAAAACCAAAAATTGATAGGCCTATTCGTAGATATATTTACAATGCTCTCCAGAGTACCTGAGATAAAGGTCCACTTTCCACTGAAACGATGAACCTTTAAGTCACGCTACAGGCCTGTACTACTGCTAATAATAATATTACATTATAATACTAATAATGTGTACCTATAGCCACGCCCTGTTTATGATAGTACCACTTCGTTTTAACGTAGTATCAAGGACTATAAAAACTATAAATAATATTTAATATACTTTTACAGTGATTTACCTTTTGTATAATGATTGTCCAAATATACAGGTAATTCGTACAGTCGGAATAATGATACACCAAAATGTGTGTATGATGATCAGAACAATGGCCGATCTAACGTGACTTACCTGCAGCGGAGTTTGCTATGTTATCACGAAACTGTTAATATTTGTTAACTTCCCGGTTTCGGTCGCTGGGTGAATAACGTGAACTTTCTAGCCTGACATGCTACACTAAATCCATATCATGAATATTAATCAACTGAAAGCATATGTCAATTTTATCCCAGCCTTGTGCAATTACTTGTTGTAGGGTAATACACGCAAAGAGTAGATATAATGTGACTAAATTACGGCTTATGTTTTAATAGTGTTGATGCTAAGGCCAAATAACATAAATTGTTTGTTTGCCCTTCTTTAAAAAAAATGATAAATAGGGGCGGGTGGAAAAAGTTTGCTTATTATTATTATTATTATTTTTTAATACTCCTCAGATGGAATAAAAGTAACCCATAGAGGCCAAGAATGGCGATATCTTACATCAGACAACAACTTTAGATTAATTTGTAAAAAAATAAAGATAAATTCACTCACATTTTTTTAATTTGTATTGTTTTTCCGCCCATATTTTTTTTCAGTGAGTTAGGGGCGGGTGGAGGAGGGCAAACAAAATATTTTTTTGGCCTTTTATTAAGCCATTGTGTTTCCTACCAAGGTATCAATTATTGATATGCAAAATCGTGAATGTAAACAATGATTGTGAAATAAAATATCCCTTGAAACAATTATTGAACTATAATTCCTTTGCCGGAAACGAATCATGTGATATGTAATAATAATAATAATAATAATAATAATAATAATAATAATAATAATAATAATAATAATAATAATAATATTAATATTAATATTAAAATTAATAATAATAATAATAATATTATATTAATATTAAAATTAATAATAATAATATTAATAATAATATTTTCCCTGCAGTAGCTGGAAAAGCATTGTTTTTTGTTGATTTTCCTGTTTTCTTTTTTCTTGCATACTTAATTTTTCCCTTTTCTTTTGCACTGGGTTTTTCTGGTCGGCACTTAGGTCACTTCCCATGCTTGGAACTGTTCAATGCTTTGCCGAAGCATAGACCATAATGTGCCTCCTAATATTTGGTGTTTGTCTATGGTAGGGTGTACATGTGAGGACCAATTAAAGTGATTTTAAGTGATTTAAGGGCAAACAGTTTACACCAGATTTTTCAAAAACGTTTAATTTGATTGGAATTTTTTTGCTTGCTTTTTCTTACTTTTATTTTATTTATTTATTCTTTTTTTTTTGTATATTGATTTTTTTTTTATTTATGCACATACATCTCCAAAAATAAAATACTGTACTTACAAAGTGACAATTACTGTACTTTGAAAACAAAAATATTACATAGAGAAATTATACTATAAAATCAATAAAATATACCTTTGGAAATATAAAATAGTTATTCGAATTACAATAACCATTTTCAGTGAATTGACACATTGCAAAATTTATATATGGCACAGCACGCACTAAAGCAAAAAAAAGTGTGGTACAACCAGAGAGGAATAGAAATATTACTTTATTATTGTGGTAACTATGTCAAGCTAAATAACATTTTTTTTTCTATTCCAATTCAATTCAATTTAAAGAAACATTTACATTCTTCATACATATACAGTATGAATACAAATAAGCGAAACAGCAACCATGCAACGAAGAAAGTCTAATCTAAACTACTGTCCAATAAATAAAAAAATACAAAATATACGAATTTTAATCAATCAGTCAGTCAGTCAGCAATTAATCAATCATTCAATAACCCAATCAATCAATCAATCAACTAACCAATCAATCAATTAATATATTCAGGCTTATTTATTTACATAAAAATATATGTACATAAAATTGCTCGTTTGCAGCAAGAGAGCTCAGATTGAGAGATAATTCATTAGAAAAACACTGACTTTAAAATATTGTACAATTTAGTTTATGAATGAAATATTAGCACATTGAGAATTAAATTCCATTACTAAAAATTATAATCAAGCAAAACAAAAAATACAATAAATCAATCAATTTCTGTTTCAATCAAACTGTTACGAATATTTCGCCACAGCTTAAACTTATAACTTCCAAATCTTATAGGCCTCTTTCAAATCAGCTAAAGCAATTATGAAAGTTCAGTCAAAACTACTGTCCAATAAATAAAACATTACAAATACTGTATAAGAATTTTAAGAGAGAAAAACTAAAGAAAATCAATCAATCTATCAGTCAGACAGTAAGTTAGTCAGTCGATCAATCAATCAATAAATCAATCAATCAATATATTCAGGTTTACTTATTCACATCGCAGCAAGGGAGCTTAAATGTGAACATAGTTATTTGAAAAACACTGACTAAAATATACAGTAATAATTAGTTGATGAATAAAATATTAACACACTGAGAAACATAGTTAATATAGTTATAAAATTTCCCGCCGAAAAAAACACGAACGGTACTGGGTAAAGACAACTTGATTTCTTGCTTTGAGCCAAGTATCCATTCATAGAAGTCATATGAAGATAAGCCTATCTGAGAGTGACTCTAGGGCGGTCAAGAGCAGGACATATCTACGACTTTCAATTGAACAAAGATTGTATTATGTTAACTATAGTTACAAGTATATAGAGACTAGCCCTTAAATGTTAAGAGTTATATTTACAAAAAATAATTAATAATGTATGTGTAAAAAATCTGTCTTAATTATGATATACATATAAATGTATATTTATATAAATATTATGCTTAAATATTTATTAAGGAAAATTTAAAAAAAATACTTTAACGAAAATATGGAAGATGCGTAGAAAGAAAGAAGAATAGGAAAGCAATTTGGAGCGGATGAAATATTTAGCGAAAATAAAAAATAATAATTTTGTCATTATTGCATCACGTTTTTGTGAAAAATTTTTGGCACTAATCGTCAGAGGCTAGGTGCCGGCAGCCTACACGTTTCATATATTCGATATCGTATACAGCTTAGTTTTTTACCTTCTTAACTCTATCTATTAAGCTTGTTTCAAATCAACTAAAAACAATTGTTTTTTATTGAAAATATTCACACAATTATTACAAAACGTAATGCAACATAGGCCTACAAAAAATCACTGACACAGGTATCACTACATTAAACATAGCACAATGCTAAAAAAAAAAAACGTGCTATGATTATTTACATTCTGTTTGCGTTTCAACATAAAATTGTTATAAAACTGATTAATTTCAGAAAATGTTTTCAAAATTTTAAATAGTACGCCACAAGTATATCACTTTAGTGATGGACAATCAGCTTATAATTTACTGCCTAATATATCCGCTTCATCATTCATATTGTACTTCCTTAATAATTCAACAAATTCCTTCGCTGAATTATGTTTGATTACATTTTCTTCTTCCAGTACACATATTAAAATCCACGGATCCCATTTGTGTACACTCACGTCAATTTTGTGCATTTCACCAATCGTCTTAACAGAAGACGTTTTTAATATTTTGCCAAATTTGATCAGTTTTTGACGATAACGGGAAAATATGCGTATTTTCACATTTTTAAGTGTAAAACTTTCAAATATAGGACCAATTTTTTTTATCTCTGATTCTACCCCCTCAAGGCCAGAAATTTTAACAGCTTCAAAGATGATTGCAGGGTTTGAACGGTTGACCACACCTACTCCCTCCAATAATCTAAGTAAACCCATTACATCGCTGGCGTTCTGTAACTCTGCCTGACCTATTTGTGACACAAACAGTCTTAGTAAAACTTTCAGCATATTAAGACTTCCATATTTCCAGTGCTTTGACACAACAAACTTTAGTTGGACATACTCTTGTTGAGTGAT